TATATTTTATATTATTATTTAATCTTTTGTAAGTCGTCCTGAGGCTTGGGCAAAGGACGGGGTAAAAATGTTTTAAATAAAAAAATAAATCAGTGGCTACTCCAAGAATACTTTTACTCTGCCTCTGAAGCTAGAGAAATAACAGTAGGAGAGGCCCATTGCTCTTATATCTTAAAGAGCAGGAAGGTGAGCCCTTGTTGGATCAGATCAAGTTTGATTGAGTCCAGCAGCCTGTTCACAAAGTGGGCAACCTACTGCATGTGGGACCCCCCCACACACACGCACACGCACAAGATATGGGTGCAAATTACCCTCCTGGCTACATTCATCAGGCATTTACTGGAGCCACTGCAGGCTTCCTACACAGCCGGTCACTGTGGAAAACGGGATACTACATTACCTAGGCCTTGAGCTGGCCTGGCTTGCCTCTTCTTTCTCCTTATGTTCTTAAATATTTGGGAAGCCAGCACAGCTCCACATGGGAGTCAACCCCCCCCCCCCACCTTTAGTTGCATTTGTAAATAGAGTGTTTCCTGAAAGTAAGGAAGATCTTCGTTCAAGAAGACTCTTCACTGAGCCCTTTGCTTAGGCTGTTGACTTAGGCTGATTTCATGGCATTATAATTCTTTAAGTTTCACATGCAGCTTATAGAATTTACTTTCTGTGGACCAATAGTAAGCAGGACCTAAAAAGAAATAAGTATGAATGAAATATACAATCACAAGTCAGTCATTGTTTTTTATTCTGTAGCGTTTATACCCTGCCTTTCTTTCTTTTGCAAGAAATTCAAGGTAGCTTAGAGGCTTTTCTCCTCTCCATTTTATCCTTACAACAACAATCTGGTGTGGTAAGTTAGGCTGAGAGTCTGTGACTGGTACACGGACACACACACACACGCAGGTTTGCTCATCAATTATACCTGGCATATTTATTTAATTATTTCATCTAATTTCTGTACTGGCCCACTAGCCAAAGCTCCCTGGAAGATTCACAGCAATACAAGCAAGAGTAGTTTCAACTTTATTCCAGTGTGGTGTAGTGGTTAAGAGCATGGGACTGGGACTCAGGCAATCCGGGTTCAAGTCCCTGCTTGGCCATGGAGCCAACTGGGTGACTTTGGGTCAGTCACAGACTCTTAGTCCAACCTACCTCACAGGGTTGTTGTTGTGGGGATAAGATGGAGGAGGAGTTGTAAGCTGCCTTGATCTCTTTGTAGGAAAAAGGCAGGATATAAATTAAATAAATAAATAAATAAAATATTCACCTGAGTTCCATCACACACACCTCCACCCCTGCACAGCTGAATGATTCTAAAAATTGAGTTATCTGCGGAGTTTTGTTCCTGACAGGATGGATGCTGTTATCCTTACATGCCATCAAGCCACCTCCGACTTATGGTGACCCTATGAATGAATCCCTTCAGGATGTCCTCTTCTTGACAGCTCCTGTAAACTCAAGGCCATGGCTTTCTTTATCTATTGCTCCCTCTCAGTTTTGGGACAGGATAAATGCCAGTGATATTTGTATAGTACTCTTCTTCGAAGGAGATCATAAAAGGGGATGTGAGGTTCTCCCATTTAACTTTGCAAAAACCCTACCAGGTGGGTTAGGCTGAGACTGATTCATCCACCCTTGCCCAAAAAGGTGCCCTTCTAAATATGTCACACTGCAACCCCCATCATCCCCAGCATGATGAATGATGTGCAGCATTAACTGATAGATCTAGTGTGGCCAAGGCACACACGTCTATCAAGACAGAGCTTGCAACTGTGCGTCTTTTCCCCTTCATTTTTCCTCTAGAGAATGTGAAGGGGACCCGATCCAGAATGGTGCCCTGGCATGGGGTCTTAGGAGCTTAACCTGCCTCTCCCCGGACCTGCAATTTCTAATCCAAAATAGTGATCTATAAAGGAAATGAATCAAAACACCCACACACTCACACAGCCTGGCCGTATCTTTAAAAGCATGTCTGGTTTGGCTCTCAGATCTATTATTTAACACTGAGCATTTTGTTATTCTCAGATTTCATACTGCAGACAGCCAAGTATCATAAAAGCATTCATGTACAGCTGGCTGTGTGAGTGTGTGGGTGTTTGGCTGAGTAAATTCTTCCAATTTATACAGGCACACACCAAAAAAAGAATATGGTTATAAATACATCTAAATAAGTTTAGAACTGCACTTGATAAACATCCAGAATTCTAATTTTAGTTCATTTTTGAAGGAGTTTGTATGGTAAGATCACATTCGTTCTTTCAGTTTTCTTGAGTAAGTATGTCTTAAATGGCACACCAAACTCCCTGGGCAGAGGTTAGGCCGGAGTAGCCAACATGGTGTCCATACCACCATGGCGCCTCTGGGGACCTCTAACATCATGCATGAAGCTTTCCGCTTCCTGCCCACTTTTCTAAAGACTCAAAAGAAGAAACTTGGAAAATTTGGGGTTATTCCGTTTTCTCTTCTTTCCTAGTCTTTATGCCTTTCTCTCCCTTCTGCATTTTTGTGTTGCTATTTCCCTTCCAGCCAGCCTCTGAGCTCCCTATTTCTGCCTGCGCGACACTGTAGCTCACGAAATGACTGCCTGGGACTTCACGGCAGCCATTGCATGACTAGCTGTGTCCTCCATAGGAGCCATTTTGTGGTGGTGTCCAGAGCAGTTTCTCAAAAATGCAGACATGTCCACAGGTTCAGCAAGGTTAGGGACCATTGAGTTAGACATTCTCAATACTTCTGCAAACATTTTTTTCCTGTGGGGAGGAGTCTCTGGTCTTCTGTTTTAGTGGATATTTTTCCCCTGGTGAAGTCCTTTGGAGATGAAGAGAGGTGACTGACAATCTTTCATAAAGCACGGCTGTTACAATTTTTATATCCATCTATTTTTCTAATGCGCTACAACAACTGAATGCCTTTGGAACCAGGAGGGCTTTATCTGCAGGGGAGTCCCTGTGCTACCCTTCCCCAATCTTGTGGCTTTTGGATGTGTTGAACTACAACCACCATCATCCCGAACCAGGGAAGACTTCCCTTAGCAAATTGCTGGAAGCAGCATGTCTACGCACATTTATATATTTGCAGCAAGGCAAGAAATGCACAACAAGGACTCACAATCAATACTGATAAGCACTCTCCATTTACTTAAGTCTAATGTCTGAAACTGGGCCACAAGGTCTTGTTTCCTTTGGAAGAAAGAGCTTTAGATATTTGTATTCTTTCTGATACGTGTTATACAAGCTCAGCATAATGAAGGCAAGAAGATTGCCGAAGAGAGACAGCGAAGCTCCTGAACCAGATTTTCCAAAGCAGCAATGGGCGGGTTCACACTTTGAATCCATCCTAACAATAAGCCACAGTATGTTGATTGTTGGGCAAACAACCCATGGTACACCCCCAGATGACTGAGGATCCTGTTGGTTGTCTCCCTTCCTTCCGTCTTGGTCCTCCCACAGGTATCCCGGGGACTCTAGGGCAAAACCCATCTTGTCTGACTTCCACATCAAAGTCTCAAATCTTCTTATGTTAACTATAGCTCTCCCTCCTTTCCCTCCCTCTCTTCCTTTTTTTGGAGTTCATTTTTGTCATCTCCCATCAAATAGCTAATGAAAGCCTCTTCAAAGTGCCTAAACAGCAGGTTGGATGGGCTTTCAATGTTTTGTCACCTTTTCTTGCATCTCAAATACTCGTAATTGCTTCATAATTTTTTAAAAAAATGCTTTAGCTGGAGTTGCATAAGAATGCACTTGGGCAGTTCTTGGGTCCAATATGGCAAACATAGCCTGGGGAATATCCTGGGGTGAGGTGGTCTTCTGTCAAAGTTCAGCACGTACATTCCATGAGCATTGACCCAAAGAGGCTTCCAGGAGCTTTATTTCCATTTTGGCTTCCGTTGTCAGCTGTCAAGAGAAATCAAAGCTGAGAATGGCCTTTGCTTTGAAGGAACCATTAGATCACCCCCTTTGCTCTATGTTTTTTTCAGCCTTTTCTCAGGTTCCTCTGACTTTTCCACTTTTTCTTGAGACTCTTAGGTGTTCAAGAAAGTGGAAGAACATGAGCCCCCTTAGATGGGAGCATGGAGGTTTGACAACTGTCAAAACTCCTTGTCATGTTAAAAGGGATTTCTATGCAGGCTAATCCATATGTCCCCACCAAAACAAAACAAAACAAAAAACACAAGCCTATGAGATACCCCATCAAAAATACAATTTTAAAAGGAACTGGAAATTTGACAGTTCACTGTTAAACCTCCATGTTTCTTGCCAGTGCCTTTTTAGAGCTGCCAAGAGAGACCCAAGTGAAAAATGGAAGTTGGCAGCCTCCCTGGGTCAATGCCCATGGAGTGCCTCCTGCACTTTGATAGCAGAGATCCCCTAAGGCATCCATGGCTTGTTGTAGGAGTTGCCACGTCATACACATTCAGTCAGTATGTACCCCCATCCACTCCAGTCTAGCCAGAAACTCTCAGGCACCACAGCAATTTGGTGCTTTTCTCCCCGATTTTGACTGGTATTACTGGAACATGGGCAGCTACCCTATGATGAGTTAGAGTCTTGGTCTAGAATCATAGAATGGTAGAGTTGGAAGGAGCCAGAAGAACATGGGATCCAGCCCCTTGCTATTGCAGGACACTCAGTTACACCGTTCCAATATCCCAGTGCTACCAATACTGACTGGCAGAGGTTCTCCAGGGTTTCTGGAAGAGTTTTTCCAGCCCTCCCTTGAGATACCAGCAACCAAACCTGGGGCATTCTGCATGTACCCTGCTGACGTGGCCTCTCTAGTCATGGCAGAAGCATTCTGGGCCTTCATGGACACCTTTTGAACATTCCTGATCAATAACCAAGTGTGTTGGGTAAAACCACAGCAATAGGCCATTTCTGTGTGTCAAGGCAGCCAAAATCACGCCGCCATTGAAATGCTGACATCACATTTCATGCTGGGAATACTGTCTGTTAAAGGACACACTGGGCTATGCACATTCCTTTATTTGTCTTTTCAAAATAATTGTTCCAGTGCTCTAAGACTTAATATGATGAGGAGGTTAATAAAAGAAATAAACCAGCAAACGAGGTTAGTCAGGGAATATAAAACATGACAAAACGATTTCTGCTAAACAGTGATAGAAATTATATACTTTGTTCAGTTGTGGAGACATTGCAATTACATTATTTTGACTCGGGATTACCATATCTGAAACCTGAAAGAAGAAACCATGTGACTGTCAGGAATCTCATGAACTCTTTTCTTTCTGAAATGCATATGAATATTTCAAGAGATTTCGTTCATTGATTCAGTGACTACTTCTCCCCTGCCATTAAGTTAGGAATGGGATACTCGGCATTACTTCAGTTTATAGCCATTAACTGTTTTTCCCCCTAATCTTCTGAAAGAATGCCATCATTCCATTTTCTCCCACATTGCTCATGATCAAGTACACAGAGTTTCTTTAAAGATGGGCAAACAATATCCCTCAGATTTAGGGTAGGTGTGAATTTATCCATTTATCCAGGGGCTTTTGTGCAGGAGACATTTCTTGTGCTGTACGCACTTTCAGTTTCATCATAGCATTGCAATCCAAGCTCTATACAACAAGCTCCTCCTTTCCTTCTTTTCTGCTACACAACTTTTAGGCAGAGCTGTGTTGTAAGTGCCACAGCACAAATACAACAGAAGACAGAGCGTCATTTTCTCCACTGTAACTTCAAAATGTTTCCTCCCTGTTCTAAAACATTTTTCAGTGCTTTGAATACACAAAAGTGAAACTGGAAGTCATCTCAACAGCTGTGAATAAGGAATCACAAATGTACAGTAAATGGCTCATTTAGAAAAGCCCTGCTGTCAGGTTTGTTCCTCTTGGCTCCAAAATGGATCTAGCTTATCTCCTTTGGACCAGAGGCCCTGAGAAGCTTGTCCAGACCAAGGAGTAATTTAATCAGAGCCCAAACCCTCCAAGTTTGCAGCAACCCTTCTAGTGAAGGAACTCTCCCTATCCCAGAGAGGTGGGCAGGGTTTAATTGGCTGCAGAAGGGCTGTGGTAGCCACCAGCTTTGCCTGGCATGGTGGGAGCTTGAGTTGCAATGTCACACTTGCGCAGGAATGTCCAAGGTGTCTGGGACTGTTGTGATTCTGCCAGGATAGAATGGGCCTGTGGACCTCCAGGTGGCTGCAGAGGGTGGCTAGGGAGATTGGGCAAGGTGTGATCCATGCCAGAAGGTCTACAACAGCCTTGGAAGAGTCAAGGCACCCATGACTGAACTGGCACAGTTCTGGAACTAGAGACATTTCAGGAGGCTTGATGTCCTTGGGAACCCCTTTAATCTTTGTGAAATAACAGCAAATGCCTCCAGAGTCCTGAAAAAGGCTCTGCCCAAATCCACTCTCCAGATCCAGCTTAGTTTCTTTTGGAAAACTCTAGATTCATTAGAATATGCTAAATGTTGAACATGAGGGAAGTTTTCACATAGTTCTTCTTGTTCCATTTCATGGCCTCCATCATGCTTCTACATCTCTTTCAGCACCATCAAGTTTCACTTACTCTTCTTCTTGTAAATATCTAGAATTACTATTGTGTCACCTGTGCAAAGACAAGAAAAGCACATTTGTTTACTGGAAAAATGCATAGCAGAGATTCCAAGATAATGAGATTTTCTTCCATACCAGAGAAGGCAACCTGGGCAGTCTGGCGACCAGAGGAGTTCTGTTTGTTACCCCTCACTGCCAAACCCAAAATGGATGAAGTCAATAGCAATGGGATTTTTGGTGAGCCGTAAGCAACAGGGAGTTTGTGGCCTTTGCCCTTCTCTCAGGGTGGCCCTCTCACAAAATTAATTGCTGACCAATGTATTGGTCTAACCTTCCTCACTGAACAGAAACACTGGACCAGCTCGCAAATGAGAGGCAGGCCCCTTAGCAGACCACTCCCTGATCGGTGGTGCCTTGATTCTTCCTGTGACTAAACACGCCCAGTTCTTCCAATCTCTCCTCCTAGGGCTTTGTTTCCAGTCCCCAGATCATCCTTGTTGCCCTCCTGTGAACCCCCTCCAGCTTGTTTGAATCTTTCTTCAGCTGTGGTGCCCAGAACTGGACAAAGTACTGTAGATGAGGCCTAAAAGTGCTGAGCGAAGGGAAACTAGTACTTCACGTGATTTGAAAGTGATACTTCTATTAGTGCAGCCTGAAAGAGCACTTGCCCTTTTTGCAGCCACATCACATTGTTGACTCATACTCAGCTTCTGATCTACAGCAATTTCAAGATCCTTCTCATTTGCAGCACTGTTGAGTCAACTATCTCCCATCTCGTAACAATGCATTTGGTTTCTTTTTCCTAGGTGCACTACTCGGCATCTGTTCCTACTGAATTAAATTGTGCGTGTGTGTTTTCAGCCCAGTACTCCAATTTATCAAGATCTCCTTGAATCTTCTTTCTGTCTTTCAGGGTATTCGCTATCCCACCCATCATGTGTCATCTGCAAAATGGAAAATGGTCTCCTGCATTTCCTCATCCAAATCATTAATAAAAATGTTGAAGAGCAGTGGGCTCAGGACAGCACTGGACCCTGCAATCCCCCACATTACCTCTCCCCAGCTTGAGAAGGTACCATCGATGAGCACTCTTTGAGTCCAATTCTGTAGCCAAGCGTGGATCCACCTGAGTTGTTCCATCTAGGTCACTTTTAGCTAGTTTGCTAATCAGATATCATGGGGCACTTTGTCAAAAACTTTGCTAAAGTCAAGGTAGATTATGTTCACAGCATTCCCACAGTCCATCAGGGAGGTTACCCAATCAAAAAAATGAAATCAGATTAGTCAGGCAGGATTTGTTCTTGTCAAATCCATGTTGACTTCTAGTACTCACTGCATTGTTTTCAAAGTGTTTGCGGACTGAGTGCTTTATAATTTGCTCAAGAATTTTCCCAGGGATCGATGTCAGACAGATTGGTCTATAATTTCCTGATTCTTCTTCTTTTCTTTTCTTGAAGATGAGGACAACATCAGCCCTTCTCCAGGCATCTGGCACTTCCCCTGCCCTCCATGTTTTCTCAAAAGGAAAAGACAGTATTTCTGAGAGTTCTTCCACCAGCTCCTTTATGCCTCTAGGATGGAGTTCATTGGACCCTGGAGATTCGAATTCATTCAGTCCAGTTTGATGAACCTTGACTATTTGTCTGTCAATCCTGAGCTATCATTCTGCTCCTCCAGGTTGTACTTCCCCTTTATCAGGAAGGTCAGAGATCTCCTCTTGGGAGAAGACTGAGCCAAAGTAGGAATTGAGCACTTCTGCCTTTTCTTGCCATCTGTTATCATTTTGCCATCCACACTGAGTAGTTGACTCCTCATTTCTTTTCTCTCTCTTTTACTTTGGACATATCTGAAGAAAGCTTTTTCTTTGCTTTTGCATCCCTTGCTAGCCTCAGTTCATCCTTAGCTTTAGCCTTCCGGATGCCATCCCTGCAATTCCATGCTACCTGCCTGTATTCTTCCTTTGTAGCCTAGTCTTGCTTCCACTTGCTATGAATGTCCTTTTTGTTTTCAGATCATCTCTTAGCTTTTTGTGAAGCCGCATGAGCTTCTTCTGTCACTTTCTACCCCTTTTTGTTAGAATTGTTTGTAATTGCGCCCTTAGAATTTTCTTGAAATCCAGAGTGCATTTTGGCTACATTTGGCTTTTGCTTCCTTTAGAATCAAGAATTCAAATGGCACTGTCACTTTCCCCCAGAATTCCTGTAGCTGCCCCTTTGTCCAGTAGGTTTTCCCTGTTGGTTAGAATAAAGTCAAGGATAGATGCTCCTCTTATTCCTTCCTCCACTTCCTGTTGGAGGAAGTTATCAGCAACACATAAGAATATGCAAGCTAATTAAAAATATGTGTGGTAGTAAATTTTGAGAATGGACTCACCCCAAATCATACGGCAGAGAAACTCTCCTGTGTTATAGATTAAAAGGTAGATGGCGGTGCTCACAAGGAAAACTATTACAATGCTGAAGTGACTCAGACCTTGGAACAAAGGGTAGGGCCACCTCCCACTTACTGAATAAATCCACAGCATCCTAGAAAAGGAGAAAAGGTATTTCATTTAGAACATCTCAAGTTAAAACAGAGCCATTCAGTAGAATCCTGATTCAGCCATACTAACAAGAGACCCATTTAATTCAACATGACATGTTAGTTGTGCCTAGTTTGTCCCATTGATTTCAATGGGTCTGTTCCAAGTTTGACTGGATCCAACTGAATGTCTCAGTCTATACTACAGAGCCTGCACTTGACTTGAAAAATGTTTATTTAAAGCATTTATGAGCCAGAAGGGCTCCAGAGCAGATCAATAATAATAAATAGCTGTCATTTTCTTCAGGGTTGCTGTCTAAACTGGCCTGACACAGAAGGAAAAAGGGACAGAATGGGAAAGAAAACAAGAAAACTCAAGCACCAATTAATAATGTTATACAGTGTTTTTTAATGTTCCTTTATGGACAATTAAAGAAACAAAAAACAAGTGGGAAAGGGGCTAAAGAAAGTGGATTTGTAAAGGTATTTTTCAGTGAAGTCCAGGGTTTGTGTTGAAGGTTATACATGGGATGGGAAGAGGGGTTCCAAGCATCTTAAGTACTAAGCTATGTTTGTCTTGCCCCAGTAGTAGGATATTGAGAAATCTGCAACAGATTCAAATAAGTGCAGATTTCTGTGAATCTCAGCTGTGGATTCTGCAGTGGGCTGAAGTGTTTTTGAGTCATAAAGATTTCACAGATATGCAAGCCAATTTTCAGTTCTGGAGTGGATTAATGCAAAAACACATTAGCACACATACGCATTAGCACTAATGTGCATCATTGTTAATGCACAGTTGCACTAATCTTTATTAGTTAATGCACATTAGTACTGATTGGCATTAACTAATGCACATTAGCACAAATATGCATTAGTACTAGTGAACATTAGTGCTAATGTGAATTCGTGATCAACATTATGGTTAAAATAAAAGATTCCAGATTCCAGATGATGGAATAAAAGAGACCTATTTGTGAAACACATAGAAAATGGATTTTACAGAATCTGTATCTTCCTACCTGGTAGTCATCCCTTCCTTAATGAGATCCAAAACAGAAATAGGAAAGAAAATGGCAAGGCCAGATTATTGGAGGGAAGGGGTCATTGGTGTCTAGGAATGTAGGGGACCATGAATACTAAGTTCTGATCTTTTTTGCTGGGGACTTTTAGAGAAGTTTCTGAGGTGATAAATACTCTTGCCTAGAGACCACAAATACCTGGTAGCTGATTTCTCTTTCTGTAGGAATACACTTCCCATTCTGTTCAAAGGACAGTCTTCAACGTATCTGTAATTCTCCTGTCAAAGTCTGCAATGCTATATCAGGAGGAGCTGTGGAAGCTCATCCCCTCAGGGAACATGGGACCCTGTACACCAGTCTTCCCTAACCTGGTGCCCACCAGATGTTTGGGATCCCAACTCCCATCAGATCGAGTCAAAATGCAAATAGCCACCAGTTATGAGAAATGGAGCCTCAGACATTGACAGGGCACCAGATTGTGTCCAACCACTTTCAACACTCAATGTTCAAAGCCAGAGTGCTGAATGTACCTCAAAGAGGCCTCCTTCAAGCTCACAGCAGTGTAACTGGTAGACTGCACAAATCGCAGCACTTGAGTAATAAAGCAGACTGGTACATGGGAAAGGAATTTTGATAAGTGGCATGCGTAATCTCATTAAGTTTTGGATTTGATTAGGCTAAAAAGCCCCTCGTACAGCCTAATGTATGGGTTGTATAATGCCGTTGTTCACACCGTTCCAAAGCTTCTCTCAAGTCAGCTCAGGAAGGCCACTGGAATGGAACAGCCAGGATTTCTTTCAGGGTCTTTTCAGCTGGGGACATCGTGGCTGTATGTAAGAACTAAGCGAGGCAAGGAATTGCCTCTTGGCTTTTTTCCAAAAGCATCATGTGAAAGAGACTTTATTCATAAAAAACACCCAACAACTTACCAACACATATAGGCAGAAACAGCAGTAATTGCTAATCCAAGCCCTTTACCCTTTGATGGATAACGACGAGGTGTGATAAGCATTTCCAACAGGATCAATGGAAGCAGAAGAGTGTGCTGAGAAGAAAATGCAGTGTGTTATGTAAGACTGGACTTGTGGCAGATCAATGAAACTCGTAATTACTTATGTACAGAGGGCCTGCTGCAGCAGAAACAACAAAGAGCCTCATTGCCCCATAAAAGGTAAATTAATTTATTTGGACATAAACATGCATGAACTATAGCCTGCTTCATCAGATAACATTCCATGAATCTGACCAGGTGGGCTGCAGTCCAAAAAGGCTTCTACCATAATCAACGGGGTGATTCTGACCAAACACACTTAAGAACCCACTATAGGGCCTATGCTGTGGTGGTGAGGATGGCGAAGAAGAAATTCTTCTCCGTTTCCATTGCCTCCTCACAATGCCGTCCGGCGAAGCTCTTTCAGGTGGTGCAGGGGCTGGTACATCTGGGCCCAAAGAAAGATCTTGTGCCACCCTCAAAGGCCCGCTGTGATGACTTTGCCAAGCATTTCAGGGAGAAAATCGCTCAGATTCACCACGAGCTTGACTCTACTATTGAATCAGATTCTACTGGGGAGATGCCATCGACGCCGTCGAATCCACAATTAATGGATGAATTTCAGTTGTTGCGGCCTGATGATGTGGACAAGGTGCTTGGACAAGTACGCCCTACCACTTGCTTACTTGACCCATGCCCATCTTGGCTACTTAAGAAAGCCAAGGACGGGATTGGGACCTGGATCCTGGAGGTGGTCAATGCCTCTTTAAGAGACGGCCGGGTACCTGCCCCTTTAAAGGAGGCAGTAGTCCGGCCAGTCCTAAAGAAGGCATCCCTGGATCCAGAGGTGGCCGCCAATTATAGACTGGTGGCCAACATCCCGTTCCTGGGCAAGGTGCTAGAACGGGTAGTGGTGGGACAACTCCAAGCACTCTTGGATGAAACTGATTATCTGGACCCATTTTAGTCTGGCTTCAGACCCGGGTATGGCACTGAATCTGCCTTGGTCACCCTGTATGACGACCTGTGCAGGGAGAGAGACAGGGGGAGTGCATCCCTGTTAGTTCTCCTGGACCTCTCAGCGGCTTTTGATACCATCGACCATGGTATCCTTCTGAATAGGCTAGCGGGATTGGGAGTTGGAGGCACTGCGTGGCGGTGGTTCCACTCCTATCTCAACGGCCGATTTCAGAAGGTGGTGCTGGGGGACTATGGCTCTGCACCATGGCAGTTATGCCATGGAGTTCCACAGGGGTCCATTTTGTCCCCTTTGCTGTTTAACATCTACATGAAACTGCTGGGAGAGGTCATCCGGAGGTGTGGGCTGCAGAATCAGCAGTACGCTGATGATACCCAGCTCCACCTCTCGTTTTCCACCAATCCAGGTGAGGCAGTGGCTGTACTGAACTGGTGCCTGGCTGAGGTAATGGGCTGGATGAGGGCCAATAAACTGAAGCTCAATCCAAACAAGACGGAGGTTCAGTTGGTGGGTGGCTCGGGCCTCGGGATGGGGGACTTGGGCCTTGTTGCACTCCTTCTGAGGGACAGGGTTTGCAGCTTAGGAGTGCTCCTCAACTCTGAGCTGTCTGTAGAAGCTCAGGTGACGGCGGTGGCGAGGAGCGCTTTCTTTCAGCTTCGGCTGAAACAGCAGCTGCGTCCCTTCCTGAAGAACAACTGCCTGGTGACAGTGACACATGCGTTGGTGACTTCCCGATTACATTTCTGTAACGCATTCTACGTGGGGCTACCCTTGAAGACGGTCCAGATACTTCAGTTGGTGCAGAATAGAGCTGCCAGTTTGCTGACGGGGACTGGGCGTTGTTCTCATATAACCCCAGTTCTCCGTCAGCTCCACTGGCTCCCGATTGAAGTCCGGGCCCAATTCAAGGTGTTGGCTATGACCTATAAAGCCCTAAACGGCTTGGGACCTGGATATCTAAAGGAACGCTTGCGTCCATATATGCCCTCCCGCCCCTTGAGATCAGCAACAGATGCCCTTCTCCGGGAACCCTCTGTGAATTATATTAGGAGGGTGAGTACCCAGAGGAGGGCTTTCTCTGCGGTGGCGCCCCATCTATGGAATGCGCTCCCCAGAGAGGTCCGCCTGGTGCTGCCGTTATTTGTTTTTCGGCGCCAGGCTAAGACCTTTTTATATTTTAATTGTTAAATTATTTGTATTTATAGGATTTTAAATTTTCAGCCAAGATGCACCGGGGGTTTTAAAATAATTTTTTATTGTTATATTGTTATTATTTATGTATTTTGTTTCTGTTGTGAGCCGCCCCGAGGCTTCGTTGCGATGGGGGTGGCATAAAAATGTTTTAAATAAATAAATAAATACATACATACATACATAATTGTGTTAGTCTTTAAGGTATCACAAAACTCTTTATCAGTGCTTAGAAAAATGTGGGTCCTCCCCATAAGAGGCCAGGAGGTTAGACTGGCCACCATGGCCACCACTGAACTAAAAGCAGGGACTGGGGAAGCAGCTTATATAGACAATGCAACTTTCAGAAACAACACAGTGGTTTCCCCACGTATGCTTTATCATTTTAGATTGGATCAATACAACAATTGCATCATTTCTAGACTCTTCTAGCATCATATATATATTACATGTATATTGTTACATCTATTATTGCATGCATGTGTGAGATTCAAAAGGGGAGTGGGAAAGCAGTCACCAAACACAAGTGGTAGTTATGATTATAATGAATAGAAATTCTGGAATGAGAAACATTGGCCTGTTGAATTCTTGTTTAATCCAGCCTCTGTTTCTATTTTCTCCGTCACTAGGAAAAAAAATTATACTTTTACAACTATAGTGAGTTCCTGGTGATTAATGTTGATAAAGCTGACTACCAAAGCTCAGCATGAATAGCCACTTATTGCAAGGTTTTTGTTTGCCAATGACTTTTCATTAGCTCTCCAAATGAATTCTTTTTGCTAGACAATGGAAAGATGACTGTAGTGATGGCATTAGTAATGGACCATATACTGCAACTTAAAACTAGTTGAAACCCCCTTAAATGCATTTTGTTTTTTCCTCAGGAAAGTGATCCCTACTCATAGCAATTTTTAATATGGGTCTAGTCACACAGCACACCATGAACCATTAAAGGCAATTAAACTTCATTCCTGGTATAATGTATTGTTTAATCTAGCATTCATTCAAATAAATGCAAGCTTTGTTCTTTGAGTAAATTAAAAAAACTGTTTAAAAAGCAGATCTTAATAATTAGGCCCAGATTGACACCAGTCTCTGAGGGTTGGCAAAAATGGCTGGAAACAATGACTCATTCTTGTATTTTCAATTAACAGTTTTCTTTTCAGTTTCACTTGTAACAAGGAAAACTGACAAAGGAAAACAATTATCACAGAGTGGGGAGGAAATACTTCACTCTCGGTTCCCCAACACTAAAACCCCAACAACACTGAACTGAACAAACAGGAGTGGAATGCATGAAGAAATTTATTCTGAGAGTCTTTGAAAGTGCTCCTCCGCTATGGATTTGATATTGCTTTATTTTGATTTATTTGCTGATCCCGTTTAATGAATAGCTTTCTAAGAAAGCCTTAGTAGTCTGCTGCCCTGGTGAGACTAGCACGATATAGTAGCATTTTCACTTTGCATGCAGTTCAATATTGAAAGCTTAACTTTTTCTTGCAGGATGTCTACATTTCTCCAAGGAGATGTCTCTACAATCTTTTCTTAGGGAACATTTTCCAGATCAAGTTTTCTGCAGTGAGGGTGTCCTTGCATGTCTGCCATGGAACCTGAATACTGCAAAGGATTCTGGGAGAGGGAGTGCTTGGGAGTAATCTGGGCCGGCCACAGGCATTTTCCCGGCTAAGATGGCACCTTCCTTCATTCCATGTTCAAGCCAACGGTTAACTAGTTCACCACTGGCAATGGAAGAACTTTCCCCACTGCACCCAAGGGCAGCAGGCCAGCTTAGGGGGAGAAGGACAGGCTCTGTGGGCACACACAGCTCTCTCCTTCCAGAAAGAAGGTGGCCTGGAGGTGCTACTGCTGCTTCCCAGAGTCTGCTGCCCAAGATGGGGGCTTCACTCTGCCCAAAAGCAGAGCCAGCCCTGCAGCTGATGGAAGGCCTAACCATCTGCCCCACCATCACCCTCACAACAGAGAGCTTTCTGCAATACTCTAACATTCCCCAGCTGCACCATTAGGGAGAATGAGGTGGCCAACCCAGGCAGCTAATTCTTGGTTGCCATGCATTTTCTAGTGACTTGTCTCTTTACTCCCAAGAGGGAAATTGGTGGTGGTGAAGATCAGGCTCTCTTTCAGCAGGTGGGAGTGAAGGGCCTCTGAATGAAGCAGAACATGGATTACCAAGACAGGGCACCACAAATGAAGTGGCCAACAGAAACCACCAATCTCTTTCCAGTGACCATGTATCTCTCGGTTAATCAGCCCAATGTGAGAGATACCTCCTGCTTCACTTTCCCTACTCTCTGTCCATCACACAGAGGTAAAAGGGTATTCTCATTTCATGCTAGTCAGAAGGCACGACTTCTGTCCCTCCCCATGGAGAACTTAGTGGAGAAATAGTCTGTGGGTCAGTTCACAGCAGCTTCTGGAGGCAATGAGTGGGTTCACATGACATGCCAAACCATTGCAGGTCGCTGTGCACAAGGGATTATTGTGTCATGCAAACCTGGACCACTTTCCCCAAGGTGTCTTGCTTGAGGGCAAGAAGTGACCCCAAAAAGTCATTGGCTGTTTTAGGGACTGTTTGACCCACAATGGATTGTCCTGTCATTTGAAACCAGAAGACTGATCCCACTGTGGGTACAGGGAATTGGCCATGGAGCAGCTTGGCAAGAGGCACAAAAAATCTTGCTACTCTTGCTATGAAGCTCAAAGGTTACTGCTAGTGCCAGCTGCCCTGAAGTGCCCAAGTGGCACTTAGTGGCAGATGGCACTGGCTTCATCTGCTCCCTGTTACAATTGCAAGTTACATCAGGATCACTGTGGTTTTCTGGGCCATTCCTTTTCCCAACTGTTCTGCATATGCCATGAGCTTACTCAGAGGAAGGGGAGAGTCAAACTGAATCACAAATAATGTCTGTTAAATTATGTCAAATAAACCATAAATTGGAGCTTAGTTTTGCAATTCTGCTAGATCATAGAATCATAGAATAGTAGAGTTGGAAGGGGCCATAAAGGCCATTGGGTTCAACCTCCTGCTGTTGCAGGACACCAGTTCGCACCATCCCACTCAGATGGCTTCCAGTTTCTTTTTGAATGTCTCTAGTGTGGGAGAGACCACAACTTCTCTGGGCAATTGCTTCCACTATTGTATTGCTCTGACAGTGAGGAAGCTTTTTCTGATATCTAGCCAAATACTTCAGAGCAGACTTTGTGTTGGTCATTTTCGGTCTGCATAACAAAAGGAAGGACATAGTATGGGTAATGGCTACAAAAATGTTCAATTTTATTGAACTACTGCATTTATATCCTTCCTTTCCTCCAAGGACTCCAAGGCGACAACATCCCTGTGAGCCAGATTTGGCTGAGAGAGAATGATTGACCCAAAGTCAGCTAGTGAGCTTTTTGAAACAGGACCCGCTATGTCCAACACTCTAGCCTAGCTCTCCCCATCCTGGTGCCCGCAAGATGTTTTGGACCACAGCACCCAGACCATTAGGCATGCAGGCTGGAACTGATGGAAACTGATGGAAACTAGCACCTTATTGGGGAAGGTACTCTAGCTACTGTACCACACAGTCAGGTGAAACCTCTGATGCCAGATAAGGGCTTGGTAGAGAGGAAAGGGTAAATTTTCAGCTTGCTGCATAACTCATCACCACTCTTCCTCACAGCAAGCCTCCTAGACACACTCATTTGTACAATTCACAAATGCAGGATCTGAGTTGTCATGGCATCAAATGTTGAAATTTTCGTAGCAATGCCCTGAGTTGGAGCCAGCAGCCCACCGCTGCACTGAGCAGAGATGGTTCAGAACATCCAGGCTGAGTCTTGGGTATGAGCTTTTGGCTCTTATGACTCAGTCTCTTACTGAACTTTTCCTCCCATCTATCCTCAAGAGGACACATAATGAATCTAGCACACACCCACAACTTTTATTTTACTGGCAGCATCTTTGCCCTTGACCACCAAAGAATCTTTTGACATACCCTGCCCTTTTGTTTTCATTTAAGCTAAGGCCACTGAAAAACTTTAAGGCACAGAAATATATAAACCTGCTAGCTTTCTTTTGCCCCTCCATCTGACGCTCTCACACACATTTGTTGCATGGCTGGTGAACGCCCATGACATCTCTTTGGGAACTTCCACTCATTTTTAAACAGAACAAAGTGTTCATTTGCATTCCCAAGCATTCTGCATTGTGTAACACTCTGTTTACAGCAACAGCAGTTTCATTATTTTGTATGTACTGCAGTAACCTAGAAAGTGTCTTTCTGCCTCACCGTTTAATACGTCACATCTTTCCATTGACTTAGAACTTGGCAAGCCGTGATTCACTAACATTCCTCCTCCCTGCTCTGCTTTTAAGGCTCCTTTTGGAAATTTATATAACTAGTCATTACACACAGTTCTGCAGATGCTTAAAGAGACAGCACGGGACACGACCTTGCAGTGAATTGGCCCCTTGGTCCATCTAGCTCGCTATGGTTGACCCTGACTGGCAGCAACTCCCCAGGTTTTTAGGCAGGAATTTTTTCCAGCCCTCCTTGGAGATGCTGTGGATGGAAGTGGAAATATTTTGTGTGCAAAGAACATGCACTACCACTGAGTTTTAGCCTCAGGAAGAAAGCATCAAACAAACTTGTGCAAAAGCTGAGTCGGACCGAGTCAAAGTTAAGCTTCTTGTTTGTGCCAATAGCAGGAAGTAAGAATGTGTTTCATCCTCATGTTGAAATCAGTAGAGTTAACTGGTGGGGAGGTGGCTGCTCCATTTGGCAAGTCATGTAGATGCCACACAATATTGTAATATTTATTGTAATAAGTCTCTTTATTTCATTCAGGGTTTGTTTTGTGTTGTTTGTTACTCACCATGGCATGATTCATCCATATGTCAATTACCGTATCAATGCTGTGGGGATACACCAGCTCCCGATCATAAAGATATAATGTCCAAAAGCTTATGCCCACAAACTGAAATAAAGCATTTACATTTTAGTCATTTGTGTGATTAAAAACATGGTGGACTTCTCTGACAATTGCACATAAGACAAAGGCCTTCAAGAGAGAGAGAGAGACAGTTGGGGACCAAGCTTCTTAAAGTCGCAGCATCTTGAAACAATGATTTTTCAAATGAGGAAGGCTTACTCATTTTGGACCAAGATGCTTTTCTGTCCAGGGCCACATTCCCACTGGGTGCTACATGCAAGCAATAGGCTTGGCTACAGCAAGTGGTATTAGAGGTCTCAATTGATCATTTGCAGGGTGCCTCTGAAATCAGGCTGAGGAGAACATCCTGTCCATGCTTGCTACATGATCAGGAAGAACCACACGAACACTCTTACAAGATCTGCTAGGATTTTGAGATCCACAACCTGGAGTCAGGTGCAAAAGACACAGACTTAGAATTAAAGCGATGGTACCTCTGCATAGCTGCTGAGCACAGGAATCAGACATGATACCAGGACTAAACTAAGCTCACAGCTGTTCCCAGAAATGACTTCTGCACTTCAGCAGTCTCTTTTTGTGGGGAGCGGCATACTGCTGCTGCTGCTGCATAGCTGCTGCTATTGATAAAAAACTGGGACTCCTTGGCTGATCTTCTACAAGGCACCCAGAGATCTACCTGAAGAGCCCAAACTATCGTCTGTCCCTGAGCTCCCCTGTCACACTCCACAGCGGAGGGTGACCACACCTTCTGGCCCAGTGTGCAGCTGCAGTATAAAGGAAAACTCCAGATTCGGTTTTTAATTTACCTTTAATTAGGTAAAGGCATGATAATAACACTTTAAATATCCTGCTCTCGTTATGAATGTAATCACACTCAGAATATTGCGTACCGTTATGGTTACCATACCTAAAAATGAAGATTGCAGTGCTGGGAAAGTACAGAAAGGACAGTATCTGGACAGCTACCTGAGAGGGATGCCTTAACAGGAGTCCTGCACTGAGCAGGGGATTGGAATGGATGGCCTTCTGGCCCCTTCCAGTTCTACTATTCTATGATCTCGGTCCACTTAGCTCTGAGAAAAGGTGAGTGAGGAAAGACATGATAAGGTAAAGGTTTCCCCTTGACATTAAGTCCAGTCATGCCTGACTCTAGGGGGCAGTGCTCAGGGCTTTTTTTGTCATAGAATGCACCGGAACAGCGTTCCGGCACCTTTTTTTCCAATGGATTTTACAAAGTGATTTTGAATCGCCTGTCCGGTGTAGCAGATCAGCAGCAAACATCATTAACATAGTGCCTGCGGGCTGCTTTTGTGTCTGCTATCTGATAGTGAGATAGTGAGGGCGCTGCTCAGCTGCTCGGCTTGGGATTGGTGTGTGTGGTCGCATGCTGCTTACTGCATTATGTTTATGTGTGTGTAGAGTGACTGGCAACGTGTAAAAGGTAAACAAGTTCTTTCTTTCCAAGCACTGGCAGTGCTAATCTCCATTTCCTAGCCGAGGGAGCCAGCGTTTGCCCACAGGCAGTCTTTGTGGTCATGGGCATGACTAAACACCTGCCCACCCACTGAAGTGGTATCTTTTCATCTACTTGCATGTGCATGCTTTTGAACTGCAAGGTTGGCAGGAGCTGGGATGGAGCAACGGGAACTCACCCCGTCGTGCACATTCGAACCGGCGACCTTTCGATCAACCAGCCCAGCAGCTCAGCAGTTTAAACCACTGCGCCACCTGCAGTCCCAAAGACATGATAGAAACATATAAAATATCTGAAGATCTACTTTCTGCCTTCCCTGAACTAGACTGCCTTCTCTTTGGGTACAAAGATTGCTAGATAATGAAACACACAAGAAGCTATTTAAAAATAACATAAACAGCTGAACAATTGCTTTTCTTGTAAATGCATTTTTTCCTGCAGTTTTAGATTTTGAAAGTCCTTTCCCTTCGACAAAGGCTTCCCCGAGTAGGACAGGGAGGGTGCATGTTAGGAGCCACCATTGCCATCATCCTTTGTCCATATGAAACCTAGTTTTGGGCTCACGAATCTATCCTTATGCAGTCTGGGGGGCTTTTTGCTACCCAGGCATGTTTTAAGAAAGAATAGTTTATGCCAGTATCAGTCACATTGTCTTGGCTTTGTTTTCTCACTGAATACAAGCTGTGTGCATGAGACCTGGGCAGGCACTCAGAAGCTGAGCAAGGATGTTCTTTCCTAAAAATAGTATGTATTGCGTATAAATGGAAGCAACTCCTTGCCTGCAGTTAGCCTTTTGCAGCTAGGGTCAGCACAAGCACAGCCTCAGGACGGTAGAAAGAGTGACATCTGAACGGCTTTTTTTGCTCCTTCAGAGTGTGCCGATGAAAATTCTTGCCAGTGAAGTCAGCTTTACCTTTTGGCTTAAGCCTGTTTGTTGACATCTAATCCTTACTTTATCACACAGCTACAAATACATCACGGATTATTCTTCATTGTAAACAGAGAACACTGAAGGTGGAAAGTGCTCCATCTAGGCATAGCACAAGTTCATTGCTGACATAACAAGTGGTGGTCTGGCAAAACACGGAGTTAACTGAATTAAGGCACATGTATGTTTTCCCCCAGAGAGGCAGCCTTGCCCCCTGTTGGGAACAAGCTACTCAGCATAAGGGCCAATCACCTTATTGGCATCACATCTAGGCTGGATACATCCAGCAGTGCTACATGAAGCAAAAAATCAGAAGGGTAAGTACACCAGCCCTTCTGCTTTCTGCGGAAGGGGAAGAAAGAGCCAGAGAGGAGAATCTGTGCACATCCACCACCAAATGCATGTGTTTTCCTTATGGACAGAACAACAAATAGTAGAAAACACACAAACCTAGTGCTGTAAGGCACTAAGTGGCCCATTATGCTCATCTGGACTTGAGCACACAGTAGACAAAAAGGCTTGATACCCATTCGGTTTTCTAACTAACCCAGTGTTTTCTACACGACTGGGCACAGCTTGCCAATGTGTTGGGCAGAGATCTTTTCCAGCCCTATGGATGGATGGCAGGGATTGAGGCTACAACCCTCTGCAAGCAAAGAATGAATCCCACTCTTGAGCTACAATTCTGAGAGCAGGAAAAGTAGTTTTCTTTTCTTCTTCCTTTTCTTAATTACCTTGCTTGATTTCTTATGAGGACAACAACTGAACTAATTGTGCCACCAGCTTCCACTGCTGTTATCACTATCACCATCATTTTAACAGGAACAAATTATCATCCTTAAAGTGGGGTAGCAACTGTTTGGGCCCATGGCCACATACGCGCACCTGAGCAGGTGTTCTGAGCACAACCTTCAGCGGGCTGGGCACAGCTGTTTCCAAAGGTCAAGAAACCTGCTCAAAGTCATTCATGGGAAATTAAGTTCCAATTAAGCTAGAGCTCCCATTTCATGTTGAAACAGTATGAAAATATTTGAAAAGTTTCAAATAAAAATTGGGAAAAGTAGGGTCTCAGAGAGGACTAAGTGTCTTGGGCCCACAATGGATACCCACCACTGACTTAAACTGTCAACATGGCCTCAGAATAAACATTTCCAGGTAAGTATAACTAATATTATCTGCTAGGGCTATGCTTATTTGTAACTTACCACTGATGTAGGAAAAGCCATGCCAGCAAAGATCAAGTCTCTGAAGGAAAACATGGATTTAGCAATTCGGTATTTCTTCAGTAGTACAAATGCATCAGCCAGCAAGGAGAAGCCATAGAAAAATGCCTGCAAAACCTGTATTAATTACAACTTATGAGAAGATCTTCAACCAGTTTTAATTGTACATGCCTCAACAAACCCCGTTCTTGCTCTTAAGGGACTAGTTTTCAGGGTGAACCATGAATCAGCACTTTCTATCTTATTTCCTGAATGTGTTTTAATAAATTAGTTTGCATGGTAAACTTTAACACTTCTTGTTTAATGGCTTATATTTTAAACAAGATTTTATGGGACTAAGCAGCTTTGTTTAGCCTGAATGTGCAAAGATCCATTAATTTAAGAATGGGGAATCACCTCGAGGGAATTATCTACCTTATATGCAAGGCAGTGGTTCAGCAGTCCATTCCCTGGTCCTAAGTCATAGAATCATAGAATAGTAGAGTTGGAAGGGGCCATGAAGGCCATTGGATCAACCTCCTGCTGTCGCAGGACACCAATTTTACCATCCCACTCAGATGGCTTCCAGTTTCTTTTTAAATGTCTCTAGTGTGGGAGAGACCACAACCTCTCTAGGCAGCTCGTTCCACTGTCATATTGCCCTAACAGTGAGGAAACCTTTCCTGATATCTAGCCTGAATCTGGGTTGTCGCAACTTTGAAAATGTCCTTCCCCTGCATGCCACAGCCTTGGCGCCATACCACAAACTGATTTTCCAACTTTTGTCAGAAACCAACAGTCATGTGGCTCCTAAAAGATTAACATATTTAGTGTAGCATTTGCTTTTGTGGACTAGTGTCCTCTTTGCCAAATGTCAGCATGTCCCAAAACTGTGATTCTTCAGCAACAGATTAACATAGCTGGCGACAGATTGTCATAAACTTTGATCTCCTCCCAGTGTGGGTTGTGATGCCACAAAAGGGACTACTGTTTGAACAGCATTGGTCCAAAGCTCTATGGGGCTTGCAGAAGTAGTGGCACCAAGATTCCTCCATTGAATGAAAACCTGTAAAAGTGTTTGCTGGGATTCTTGCAGAATTAGGGATTACGATTTGATGAAATATTGCCGCTCTTCTGGTCTTTCCTGTGTTAGGGTTTTTTTTTTAAGGAAGAAGAAAAGGTAGGAAATTGGGGTGGAGGTAGGGGAAAGACTACAAATGGAAGACGGCGGCCTCTAGACCCTCTGAAAAATTCTGGTAACAGGGCAAGGAGATTGTGCCAAAGGTGGGTGCAACCTAGAAGTGCCACCTGGCACTGGAAGTAAAGTCCCTTCAGAAGGAAAACTGATTTTAAAAGCTGCTTTGGGGGGAAACGCAGCAGCCGGCGCAAAGTCCAGCTCCCTCTCCCCACCCCAGACGCTCCCTCTCTCTCCTAATTTCCAGGTGTTTTGGGCTTCCGTTTCCAGGAGCCCCTGCCGTAACATCTGAAGATTTACTTCCTCTCTTTCCCTTTTTTTTAAATTAGGCAAACGACTCTCTCTCTCTCCCCGTTCTTGCATGGATTTATGGCCGTTTTCAGTGGGAGAGCAGAGCCCTTGGCGGCGCGCATTCCCCCAGCTGCACAGACTTCAGCTTGCAGCCCGAGACACCGCCGTCCTCCTTAAGCAAAGGAACTGCACGCCACCTGTTTCCTGAGATTCGGGATAACTCCCTAAGCGCGTTGAGCACAGTCGGCGAAGCAATGACAGCGCTTACCAGGTTGAGAACCGTCAAAAATTGCCACGGCCCGCCGTAGGCTGCGAAATCGTCAAACTTTCCTCTCTTCTCTGTCTGGCGGATCACATGGACTAGAAACGCGTACCAGGCAAGACCAAGGCAATGGCAGAGAAAGAGCGATGAGGGCTTCATGGTTCAGCCGGGAGCGACGGAGCGCTGAAAAGCACCAGCTGCTGCCTTGGCGTCCTGGATAACGATCAAGCAGCCATGCGGGGCGGCTCCGCCACAGGGCGGTTTACTTTTGCAAGGAGCACAGGAAAGTTTTCATAGCCTTTGCAGCAGTCGTGGAAGCACTGCGCCTTCCTTATTCTTTCCTCTGAGCTCTTCTGCAGCGCTCACAGAATTTGGATTTAAATACCTTGCTCAGGATTATAGAAGATTAGTTGCCCAGTTACATAAGTTTTGGTGTTTTATGCAAAATGAGAGGGGGTAGGTTTGCATAATTGTATGTTGGCGGTAGTTATTAACGCAAGATTGTTCAGCTTTCTTGTATAACTCTATTCCTGCTGGCACGTTCTACTAACACATTTTCTAGTGTACTGAGCAAATGTAAACATTAAAGGGCAGACAAGATGGACATAGGAAACAGGTAGTATTGATTGATTAAATTGTGTGCCTTTTCTTCTTAACCGAAGTGCTGCTTGTTTGCTGGAGGGAAAATCTTGTACCTGTTTAGATAGCAAAAAGCCCTGCAAGTTTTGGAGTCTTCCAGCCAGCCATGTTGGTTGGAGAAGTGCAGAGCTGGAGGACTTTTTGCTGTCTAAATATGCACTGGATTGCATCCTTAATCCCATTAACCTTCACAGAAATTAATTCTCCTGGCATGACCATTATACTGTTTGAGGTAATAAGAAAGGATAAGAAAAGAGCTGGAAAGAAGATGTCCATGACAAGAGTGGGAACAGAAGTGTTTCAAAACATAACTGTTGCATATTCTACTAGAAACATTTTTATTTATTTATTTGATACATTTCTGTACCACCACATTAGATTACAGGGCTCTCTGAGAGGTTTACAATTATAGTAAATAAACCAATTTAAAATAAATACAAGCAAAAACAAATTTAAAAGAGTAAAAACATCGCAATAAAAAATGTGGAGTGCATGTGCAAGATAGGTGGCAAAGCTTTCAAATGTGGACCATATTTGATGGTATGCAGTGGCTTCCACATTCAGGTGCATTCTGCACTGGAAATAAGGTTTCATTGCTCTTTCGGTTTGCAAAAGGCCCTTACTGCGATTCACATGTACATCAGGTAGATGGAGGCTGCTGTTACAAAGACAACTTCAGAGGGTGAGATTTGACCATTAAGTTATACAACCCTTTATACAAAGGGTTTTATTTTATTTTATTTTATTTTATTTTAGTGATTGCAATTTGAGGCACTTAAAGATGTAGCAGACATCCGCCTTTGATCAGCTTTGAGGATATGCCCTCAAAATTTTGATATTTGACTCAATGAGGGTTAAGCAGAGATAGTTAGTAGATAGTTTCTGGAAAAACGCGTACATTCATGGCTGCCACAGGGGCAAAAAAAGCTATCCCCCATCTGAAGATGGTTTAAAATTTGTGGGAAGAAACTAGCTCACACCTTCATGCTGCGTGGCTCATGTTTATAAGCATCTATGGCAAATTATCTGTTCCTATATTGACTAGAAATGATTTGGAGGTAGAAGTGACCAAGGTAGGAGTTTTCAGTAAGTTAAGAATCTGGCTGAGACCTGTGCTAAGTTCAGTAGTGGGGAGCTCACATTTCCTGTATCCTGGCATGGTGGGGGAGCAGAGGGGCGGTCTTCTCCCCACCCTCCGCCTTTGCGGGTTTCGCCAAACAGCCTCTTCAGCCCATTCAGTGAGGATGCTTCAGAGTGGGAGGGATGGAAGCAGGAAGAGGCCCAGGATAATTTGCAACTTCTCCCCTCCTGGCCCGCCAAAATACCTCCTTGACTTTCCTCCTCTGCTGCTTTTCTGACCTTGTAGAGGCATCCTGAACAATGCTGTCTGCACCAGCTACAGAAAGCTGGAGCCGGGGCTGGATGTCCAGCTCTGCCTTTGGAGGGCTGAGCACTGTCTCCTCTCACCAAGAGCCCCAAGGGTTGTCAACTGAGTACATGGGAATGGAGTGGGTGTCTCAATGCACAGCTAAAGAGGAGTGACTTAACTGCTGTTCACAAATCCACCCAGAGAGCCTTCTGGCTATCAGGTGGTGTTGAAAGAAATAATAGGTGGTGGCAGCTGCTCTTGTGGAAGTGCGTTGGGAAATTCTGGCTCCAGTGATATTTAGGGGCCAAAGGCCTATAGGGACCGCTATATATTGCAAACATGTTTAGGACTGCAGCTCTACAGTCTTGCAATTTGATGCAGGAATAATTAATTCAGAAGCTTTCTTTATCAATTAAACGTTTTGGCTGGTGCTGTTTAAATTATGTACTGTGTGTATTGTGCCATCTGTCCATGTTACATTGTGCTCAGCACTCAATGTAGGAGGTGCAAAGTGGGTTCCAGGTGCAAATTGGATCTTTCAGATCAAGTATAATCTAAAGAGTTGCACCAAACTGACACCTATATCAGCTTGGTTAGTTCCAATCTGATATACTTTGTGGAAGCAAAGCTACCGTGTGTATCATATCTCATTTAGCATAGAACCCTAGCAAATATGCTTTCCAGTACCCGGAACCCACTATTTACCTCATCTTGGAGTATGTGACTTACTTCTAAATTAAGTTTACACTAAACGTAGCATGACTGCATCTGTATAGTTTAGTCATCCATGTTACTTTCAGCATTGAACATGGGTGCAAAGCTTGCATTACCACCCTCTGAATATCTTGCCTGGAATTGGACCAGGACTACCAGTCCCAAAATTCATGGCAGGGAAATCATGGCGTTCATCTGCTTTCCATTGAGAGAAAGTCTTCTGAAGATGTTTCCCCATCTGATGCAACAGAGCAAGCATTCTCTCCTACTCAGGATTCTGGGACTCCTAGTTTCAGTCCATCCTCTGCAGAAAAATGTGCTCTTTTGTACCTGTGTCCATCCTCCATTCCTGCTTTCCTCTGTTCTGCCTTCCTTAGGTTACTGGGCATTTGGGGCCCAGGAAGGTGCAGGTAGTGGTGGTATTTGCAAGGCCCTGCATATTTTGACCCTGCTTGTCAGCATTCCAAAAGGGGTGCTCCCTTCCTGGTGAAATGCTTGCAACATTCCTTCTTTTATGCCCTGTTCAGCTATTCTGAACTTGACTGAGGCAAACGCGTGAGGAGAGTGAGTGCTGCGTCCAAGCCCCCTCCTCTGTTGACCTCCTCTGACCTTCTACTCATGGAACATAAGCGTATAAGATGGGCCATGCTGGGTCAGATGGCGGTCCATATAGTTTAGCATTCTGTTCTCAACCAAGCTGCCTGTGGGAAACGTTTGCACAAATAAGACATGTATGCAAGGTCCCCTCCTGGTCTTACTCTCCAGTTTATGCTCTATACATTTGTCTAATCTCTTTCTAAAGCCATCCAAACTGGAGGCAATCACTATGTCCCGTAGTAGTGAATTCCATAATTTAACTATGCAGAGGGTAGAGAAACCCTTTAATCAGCCCTGAATCTCTCACCAGTCAGCTTCATGGAGTGATCCCAGGTTCTAGTATCATGGGACAGGGAAGAAAACTGTATCCTAATCCATTTTCTGGGCATTATGCATAATTTTGCACATTTCTATCATGTCTCCTGTTACCTACCTTGTTTCTAAACTATACCTTTCCTCACATGAGAGTTGTTCTAGCTCCTTGATCATTTTAGTTGTCCTTCGCTGCATTTTCCAATCCTACATACACCTATTTCAGGTGGTACAATAGCCACACCTGAAATATCTTGCATAAAGCTTGTATAAAGTCAGTATGATATTGTTTCTATAACTATTTTTTAACTTTCCTAATTTTTATAACTTTCCTGATCTACCTTTTTCACAGCACCTGCATGTTCACTTGACTTTTTCATTGAGTTTCCACCACAACCCCAACATCTCCATCTTGGTCAGTCAGTACCAGTTCAGATCCTACTGGCATTTAATGTGGGAATCCCATCTATCCCCTGAAAAGTGCGGCACTTTATACATGCTTGTACTGAACCACATTTGCCATGTTTATGTCTGTTCTCCCAGTTTGGAGAAATCCTTGCTAGGGATTATGGAGAAAGGAATTGCAAATAAAATAAGGCCAAGCACTTAGATGGACAAAATGCATTTGAAACATGATGCTGGAGAAATGCTTTCCATTCTCTGTCAGTACTGACAGAAAGAGGATCAAGTAGGTCCTACATCTAATCAAGCCAGAGCTTTCCCTAGAAGCAAAAATGACAAAAGGCAAAACTCCCCGGAGAAGACAATCATGCTAGGGAAGGTCAAAGGCCGAAGGAGAAAAAGAAGACCAAATAAGAGATGGGTTAACTCCATAAGGGAAGCCACAGGAGGGCACAGCCCAGAATTTACAAGAGCTGAGCAAAGCTGTCATGGATAGGACATTTTGGAGGTCACCATAAGTTGGAAACAATTTGAGAGCACACAACAGCAGCAGCAGCAAGTGTTTTGTACGGTGGAGGAAAGCAGAGGTGACCTTTGCCAAAAGGACAAGCTGGCCTTTTTATTTGCTGATTTTATATCATAATCTCCTTCATGGATCACTGCCTTGTCATGGCGAAGGGGCTTGTGTAGCTCAATGAAGCTATGAGCGATGCCGTGCAGGGCCACCCAAGATGGACAGGTCATAGCAGAGAGCTCTGACAAAACGTGATCCACTGGAGAAGGAAATGGCAACCCACTCCAGTATCTTTGCCATGAAAACCCCATGGACAGTACCAAAAGGCAAAAAGATATGACGCCGGAAGATGAGCCTCTCAGATCAGAAGGTGTCCAATATGCTACTGGGGAAGAGCGGAGGGCTAGTACTAGTAGCACCAGAAAGAACGAAGTGACTGGGTCAAAGCCTTAAGGACACTCAGTTGCAGATGTATCTGGTGGTGAAAGGAGAGTCCGATGCTGCAAAGATCTATACTCCATAGGAACCTGGAATGTAAGATCCATGAATCAAGGCAAGCTGGATGTGGACAAACAAGAGATGACAAGACTGAACATCGACATCTTAGGAATCAGTGAACTAAAATGGACAGGCATGGGGGAATTTAATTCAGATGACCATCAGGTATACTACTGCAGGCAAGAATCCCTCAGAAGAAATGGAGTAGCCTTCATACTCAATAAAAGAGTAGGAAAACCAGTACTGGGATACAATCTCCAAAATGACAGAATGATCTCAGTTCGAACCCAAGGCAAACCATTCAACATCACAATAGTCCAAGTCTATGCCCCAACCACTGGTGAGGAAGAGGCTGAAGTTGACCACTTCTATGAAGGCCTACAACACCTTCTAGAATTATCACCCAAAAATGGTGTCCTTATCATCATGGGGGATTGGAATACTAAAGTAGGAAGCCAAAAGATAACTGGAATAACAGGCAAGTTTGGCCTTGGAGTACAAAATGAAGCAGGGCACAGGCTGGTAGCATTTTGTCAAGCGAATACGATGGTCATAGCAAACACTCTTTTCCAACAACCCAAGAGACGACTCTACACATGGACATCACCAGACGATCAACACAGAAATCAGATTGACTATGTGCTCTGCAGTCAAAGATGGAGAAGCTCTGTATAGTCAGTAAAAACTAGACCAAGAGCTGACTGTGGCTCAGATCATGAGCTTCTCGTTGCAAAATTTAGGCTTAAATTGAAGAAAGTAGGGGAAAGTACTAGGCCACTCAGGTATGACCTAAATCATATCCCTGCTGAATATACAGTAGAGGTGACAAATAGATTTAAGGAATTAAATCTGATAGACAGAGTGCCTGAAGAAGTATGGATGGAGGTTCGCAACATTGTACAAGAGGTAGCAACTAAAACCTTCCCAAAGAAAAAGAAATGCAAGAAAGCAAAATGGCTGTCTGAGGAAGCTTTACAAATAGCTGAGGAAAGAAGGGAAGCAAAAGGCAAGGGAGAAAGAGAAAGATACACCCAATTGAATGCAGAATTCCAGAGAATAGCTAGAAGAGATAAGAATGCCTTCTAAAATGAACAGTGCAAAGAAATAGAAGAAAAACAATAGAATAGGGAGGACCAGAGATTTCTTCAAGAAAATTGGAGATGTGAAGGGAACATTTCATGCAAAGATGGGCATGATAAAGGACCAAAATGGCAGAGACCCAACAGAGGCAGAAGAGATTAAGAAGAGGTGGCAAGATTACACAGAGGAATTATACAAGAAAGTGCTTAACATCCCTGATAACCACGAGGGGGGTGGGGTCACTGGCCTCGAGCCAGACATCCTGGAATGTGAAGCCAAATGGGCCTTAGGAAGTCTGAGCAAAAACAAAACTAGTGGAGGTGACAGTATTCCAGCTGAGCTATTCAAAATCTTAAAAGACGATGCAGTAAAAGTGCTACACTCAATATGCCAGCAAATTTGGAAAACTCAACAGTGGCCACAGGATTGGAAAAGGTCAGTTTACATTCCCATCCCAAAGAAGGGCAATGCTAAAGAATATTCAAACTACCGCACCATTGCACTCATTTCACATGCTAGCAAAGTTATGCTCAAAATCCTACAAGCTAGGCTCCAGCAGTATGTGGACCGAGAACTAGCAGAAGTACAGGCAGGATTTTGAAGAGGCAGAGGAACTAGAGATCAACTTGCCAACATACGCTGGATCATGGAGAAAGCTAGGAAGTTCCAGAAAAACATCTACTTCTGCTTCATTGTCTATGCTAAAGCCTTTGATTGTGTGGATCACAACAAACTGTAGCAATCCCTTAAAGAGATGGGAGTACCAGACTATCTCATTTGTCTCTTGAGAAACCTATATGCGGGTCAAGAAGCAACAGTGAGAACTGGACACGGAACCACTGATAGGTTCAAAATTGAGAAAGGAGTTCGGCAAGGCTGTATACTGTCGCCCTGCCTATTTAACTTATATGCAGAGCACATCATGAGAAAGGCAGGGCTAGGTGAATCACCAGTTGGAATTAAGAAATATCAACAACCTCAGATATGCAGATGATATCACTCTCATGGCAGAAAGTGAAGAGGAACTAAAGAGGCTCTTGATGTAGGTAAAGGAGGAGAGCACAAAAGTTGGCTTGAAACTCAACATTAAAAAAACCAAGATCATGGCATCTGGTCCTCTCACTTCCTGGCAAATAGATGGGGAAGAAATGGAGGTAGTGACAGATTTTATTTTCCCGGGCTCCAGAATCACCGCAGCTGGGGACTGCAGCCAAGATGCTTGCTCCTGGGGAGGAAAGCTATGGCAAATCTAGACAGCATACTAAAAAGCAGAGACATCACCCTGCCAACAAAAGTGCATATAGTCAAGGCTATGGTTTTCCCAGTTGCAATGTATGGCTGTGAAAGCTGGACCATAAGGAAGGCTGAGTGCCGAAGAATTGAGGCCTTTGAATTGTGGTGCTGGAGGAGACTCCTGCGAGTCCCTTAGACAGCAAGGCGATCAAACCGGTCAGTCCTAGAGGAGATCAACCCTGACTGCTCCTTAGAAGGCCAGATCCTGAAGATGAAACTCAAATACTTTGGCCACCTAATGAGGAGGAAGGACTCCCTGGAGAAGAGCCTAATGCTGGGAACAATTGATGGCAAAAGAAGAAGGGGACGGCAGAGGATGAGGTGGCTAGATGGAGTCACTGAAGCAGTTGGTGTGAGCTTGAGTGGACTCTGGGGGATGGTGGAGGACAGGAAGGCCTGGAGAAATGTTGTCCATGGGGTCGCGATGGGTCAGACACGACTTTGTGACTAACAGCAACAACAATATCATAATGGCTGCCCAGAGAATATGGGCAGCTTTTAAGCACATCAAATAAATGAATGAATGTCCTGGATAGTCGGCCACCTCAGCTGATGGCTGTGTGATCATTTGCAATTTGGGGCCTTTTGCTGGTAGGTGGTTGCTGCTGCTGCTGCAGCTGCTGCTCCACAGATATTTTGCATTTTCTTTTCCTTTCCCATGAAAGCATGCCATGTTCTGTGCAGCATTTGAGGATTCCTCAATTTCTTAGTCACATGTTCCAGATTCCTAATAACCAGCAAAGCCAAGCTGAGTTCTTATGGATTTTTATTCACTGAATTAATCATCAAAGGAGAAAGGCTGTTCAAGGCCAGCAAATCAATACTCTGCTCAACCACTCTGCATTCTCCCATGTTCTTTCTGATTGAAATAACCTGTCTTTTCATTGGTTCAAGCACTCCACTTAACTGTCTTGCTGATCTCAATAAACAGCCACTTGAGCTTAGCAGCAAACTTCCTCTACGTTACTTCAGTAATGGTGCTTCAGAGGGGAAAAGCTGTCGCTCAGGAGGACACATGGTCTTCATGAACCAGATGCCAGGTTCAGTGCTTGGCATCTCCAGTTAAACACAGGATCGGATAGCACAGGATTGGGAAGAGTCCCAGAAAGTACCTGCCTTGAGTTATGCCCCTGTGGAGAAAGGTACAGTTAATGGTATTGTTTTGTGAAGAAATCAGTCAAGTAAGGAGTGCCATGATAGACAAGGCATGCACAGCATGGAGAAATTGAATAGAGAGACCTTTCTTCCATCTCACGGTTCTAGAAGACCTTTTTATTTAAACATCATTTCAATTGTTAAAACATATGATCTGGCCAGGGCAACTTCTTCTTCCTTCTCTTTCTCCTCCTATATTTTTATTTTATACTGATAATTTTAATTTTATTTTTGTAAATCAATGTATTTTTGTATTTTTATATTTAATGGTAATTTATTATGTACTATTGTATTTCAATGTATTTTATCATGTTGTAAGCCGCCCCGAGGTTTCGGCAAGGGGCGGCATAGAAATGCTATAATAATAATAATAATAATAATAATAATAATAATAATAATAATAATAATTTGGAGCAGATCAAAGGAAGTTCTTCCTCACAGAGAGCATAGTTAAACAGTGGTATTTACAAGATGTAACGATGGCCACCAACTTGGATGGCTTTGAGGGGAGGTTAGAAAAATTTGTGAAAGTTCAGAATATTCATGGCTACTTGTCCTGATCGCTATATGGTACCTCCAGAATCAGAGGCACTGTGCCTCTTTGCACATGCTGGCTGGGAAACATGAGCTGAATGGCGCTATTGCATGCAGGAACTATTTGTGGGTTTCCTGCGGACAGCTAGCTGGCCGCTATGTGAACAGGATGCGGGAGTAGATGGACCCTTAGCCTGATCCAGTGTGGCTCTTCTTAACGTTCTTATGCTCAAGCCTCCTCAGTTCTTCTCATTGACAATTTAGAACCAAAGAGCTTGAATGGGCTTGGAAGACCATTTAGGTAAACCCCCCAGTTGATGCAGGAATTCTTGCATCTCCAGCCACAAAAAATCTACTACCCATTTAGGTAATTTGCTCCATTTTTTTAAAGTTTAATAACAATAAAGTTTCAAAAGAAGGAAAAAATACAAATACAAGTAAACATTACAAAGAAACACAAGCGTTCTTAACAAATGTTACATGGATTATCAAGATTTTTTTTAAATCACTGTAAATCTGCAATTACTATCCTTTCTAGTCAATCACATGTTTAGCACTTAGTTAAAATTAATTGTAGATTCTTCTAATCTCAAACAAGTTTCTCAAAACTTTTATTATCTCTTTCCCTATATTTTTCCATTGTTGTTATCCCCAATAAAAGGAAGTTGTGTGTAATACATTTTCCACATATCATTAATTTGTTTGGTTGGTTATGTTTCTAAATGGTTGGTTAGTCTTACCATAACTGCATAGTCAACTGTTTAAATTTCTTCTGCTTTCCATTTTAAAGCAGTTTTAACTCTAGCTGCAATTATCATGTTCTTAAATAGCTCTATTCATCTTAACTCAACTTGCTATAACAACAAAGCATCAGTACAAGAGTTAATCTCTAATAATATTTTCAAGAATTCTACTCCATTTATATAATTCTCCTTGCTATAGTAGCAAAGCATTAGTTTAAATGTGAATCTCCGACAATATTTTCAAAAGTTCCACTCCGTTCATATGTAGATTTTTGTATTATCTCCATTATAAAGTAAGTTGGGCATAGTAGAGTTTCCACTTATCATTAAATTCATTGGCTGTTTTCTATTTACAAAATTAGTCTATTTTGCCATTACTGCATATTCTGCTAATTTATTTTTCTAGTCTTCAGTCCTTGGGTTATCTTCTGATTTCCATTTTGAAGCAATTATGACTCTGGCCGCAGTTATCATATATGTGACTAACTTTACCATATGCTTTGCAGAGTTTCTGGTACAATGCTCAGCAACATGGTCTTGGCAGCCATGGGAAAATTAATTTTCAATTTTTTGTGCATTTCTGCATGTATTTTTTTCCAAAAATTTTTGATTTTGTTACATAACCACCACATGTGGTTAAAAGCACCATCAACTTCTTTACATTTCCAATACTTTCCAATGTAGTATTCTCCATTTTCACTATATCTTTTAGAGAAATATACCACTGGAAGAACATCTTGTACCAGTTTTCCCTCAATGCTTGACTGACTGTAAAATGTATATCCTTTGTCCATAAGGTTTCCCATTGATGGAATGGTACTTCTTCCTGAAAATTCTGCAACCAATTTATCATGCATATTTTTATTTTCTCAGTTTCATTATCATATTGAATTAGTTGCTTATAGATTCCTAGTAAATGATCTTTTTGTTCTGTAATCAGATTTTCAAAGTTTGTCAGATCTCTTATATTACCTTTCTCACTTTTTTCTCACTTCAGACTCGATACCAGTTGATAGTAATTTCTCACTTCAGAATTTCTCACTTCAGACTCGATACCAGTTGGTAGTAAAGAAGGTATTTATAGTTTTTCTTTCATCTTGTAGTTCTTGCCATGACTGAATTCCTCTAAATTGCTCAATCATGTCTCCATATATTACGAAATCATTACTTATCCTTAAATGTGTACCATAATATGCTTCAAGTGGGATAATTTGCTCCTTTGTTGAGGTACTTTTGCCATCTTGTTGCCATTTTGTTCTATCAAAATACATCCTCCTACAACTTAAGTCTATTTGATTTAGTCCTGCCCACAGGGAGCAACTCTTTGCTCTCTTCTATGTGGCAGAATTTCAGGGGTTCACCTTTGAAGCGCTTTGTCGTGTCTTCCCTCGGTCAGCTCTTCTCCAGGCTACACTTACCCAGTTCCTTTAGCCTTTCCTCACACAGTGCCTTTTCTGTTCCACTCACCTTCCTCCTTGCCCTCTGCTGAATCCTTTCCAATTGACCAAGTATGGGAAAAGATTTGGAAAAGCAAGGGGTAGGCAACAACTCCCATAATGGCCAGCCAGCATGGCCAGTTGTTAAGAGGTATGGGATTTGTAGTCAAAAATATCAGGAGGGAGAGAGGAAATTGGAATTCCAATTTAAATTGGAAATTTAAAAACCTTTGTATGGCCAAAGATGTTAACAACTGTGGTAATTGATTGTCACAAACAAGAAAAGGAAAGGGTAAGCTATACAGCTCTCTTCTTGGGTCTACCTTCAGTGAGTTGTGTTTGTAAGTTTAGGAGCCTACTTTTTTCTTAGTTTTAAATAGTCAGAGTGATATTGTGGCTTTGCTTGGATCGTTCGAATGGCTGTATTCAACTGCCTTCGGGTCATTTTGGCTTAGTCATAAACTATAACCTGTGGGGGGGGGGAATCACATGCAACACTGGATGTCAGGAAGAAGGCTAGGTCAGACCCCTTCTCTCTGACCTCTGGTTTTCTTCGTGGAGTAATTATCTGGGGCAAAATGCTGTGGTCTCTGACATTGTTGGTAAGATGACTGCGGGTCCCAGCTCTGAGATTCTGTGACTGTGGAGCCCAGAATCCAAAGGCTGAGCCCATGCCTTGCTCCCCTCACAGCCGGCTCCAAAAGAAGCGCCCACCTAGGTTGCAGTGGCTCTTGGGTGATCCAAAAAGGTGTGCCGGGGGGAAGGAGAGCAGGAGGCGGGGGTCAAGGACTTAAGCCGATTCCTACTGGCGCCCCAGTATCCTTCCCTCCTGCTCGCTGGTGCTCTGCCTAGATGGTTGAAAGCAAGCACGTGGTGTGTGGTGAAGCGGCAACAGAGACGGCTGTCTCTCATTCCATGCGTAGGGCGCACGTATGCCGCCAATTCCAGAGGCTCACACACTGCCTGACAACGCATGTTTTCCCCATCCCTCCGTCACTGCTGATGCCAGGCTTGTTTCAGAGTTTCCAAGGAACGTGCAGGGAGACGAGCATCCCCGCGCGGTGGCATGTGGCTCAGGCACCCACGATGTTGTGGGAGGCACCTGCACACCAGTGTGGGTAGTAGTGCCCTATGTGGAGAACGCCCGTGTGGTACGTTATGGCAGGTACAAGTGCTGTGCAGAAAAATGACTGAGGAAATCCTGTGGCTAGGAAAGGCCACTTATGGATTGCCCAAAGAAAGGACATGAAAAAAAAAGGATTGCCAAAAGAGAGTGCAGTGATTTGCATAAGGTTTGCTTATCCTGATTTCACTTTTAGAAATAACCTTTGTCATTTCAATAGAAAAGTAGTATATCTTGCCATAGGAGGCGGCAGTCTGTCCTGTGTAAAAGGACCCCTGATCACACACTCCTCGTCTGCTTTTTAGAAAAATGTACTGAGCGCAACATCTCCTGAAGTGAGCTGCCCTGTTCTTGCAGTAGCATGGCTTTGGCATGGAAGAGGATGCTTTTCCCCATTCATCAGAGGTTGGGAAGCCTCGTACTCAGGAACAAAAGTGAATCCAGGTTATTTGTGAGCTGGGAAGGTTCCTATAAAATTTAATCACTGCAGTTCTTGCAGCAACAAAGAACTTCACTGCCACCTAATGAATCAGCAATGTTAAGCTCTCTGGGAAGAGAGTTAAAGCATTCCAGTTGGACAGGGAAGGGCTTTTTCCTCATTTAAAAAACAAAACAAAACCCTTTGTCAGTATTGCACTGAAACGAAACCACGTAGAGCATAAGGTGTTCCAAACTTTGAATGATGCCCTAATGAGGATTAGGAAAGGCTAAGAAAACAAGGTGTCCCTTAACTCTGAACGTTCCATAAGTCTGATTGTACTTTCATACCAGATGCTTAGATTTTTCTTTTTAAAAAGTCCGATTTAGAAGCAGGGTTTAAATGCTTACAGATTCTTGTACCAAAAAGTATGGGAACTGTAAGCTGAAGAGCCCATCCTAACTTCTGTCTCATGCACGCAGCAAACCCACCAGTGAAAGAACATATCTGGGGGGTATGAAGCCATGTGGCTCACCTGCACCACTCCTGTCATGCTGCCCCCACGGCGGTGCGCCACCGCCACATGGCAGCCCGCTGCCACCCATAATGGGAACTCTTGCTCTCGGGTGGCATGCCTAGAGAACCTGCCATCCCAACAAGTGCAACTCCTGCAGGATGGTGGTGCTCCTGACTGTGAAGTCCCAGCCCCACACAGCAATCGCCAAAGCCACCAGACTGGTTCCTGCGATCGCAGCAAGGGAAATAAACCATGGTGCTTCTTTCCTCCACTGAGCACTCTGGCTGGGTTCCCTTCACTCCCCCTGCTGGTGAGGCTGTCCGGACCGTTTGAGCCCTGGTTGTGCATGGCTTGCTTGGGGCATTGGGCGGAACCCAAGAACAGCCGCTTCGTTAACCACACTGCAGTTGTGTCACCCAAGTGGAGAACTGGCCTATCTTTGAGGCCTATTTACATATGAAATTTAGTTGAAAACACTACTCATACTCAGTTCTTATTTTCATTTTGAGAGGGCCATGGAAGAAAATTTTGTTACTAGAACTAGTGTACTCATGTTCCTCATTTTTCAGTTCCCCCATTTGGATTCATAGAAATTCAGTATGTTGCCCTACAGAGATTTCCCCATGGATTCCAGCTGACAGCTTTCAAATGTAACCAAAAGGTACAAGTGATCTCACAAAAAGGGTGGGCAGCAGCTCATTCTTAGCAAGATCCTCATGGACTTGTTTGGTTTTAGATTCATGTGTCCTAAGGGTGCCCTTGCTGTTGCATGTTTTCCTGAAATTCTGTCACCTTGGGAACTTCCAGAAGCTATGAGCCGCCCGATTTACAGCTGTCAAAGGTAAAGCTCTGTTTTTAGAGTGGGATTTAGAAGGGTTAAAAATGTTGGCTGGAATATAGAGCCAAACTTACTAACTTTTTGCTTCCAAGTAATCTCTTTTTGTTGTGGTAGTTTCCTAAGAGAACAGTAATTTTGTTTCATGGCTATGTCACAATCCATTTCCATGTTTCCCTTACTCTTGGAGAAAATGAACCACAAGGCAGATCCTTTTCCTCTGCTTCCTTCTTTAAATTTCACTCCCACAGTATGAAATGCTCATCTCAAATGGCTATTATTTGCTGCTTCCAGCGGGATGAATTCCTAAAAACAGTTGCCCCAAAGAAGACACATGCATATATCCCAAGAGTCAGTTGACTAGCATTTTCTGGGCAGTTGGGTTTGATCTTTTTTATTCCTCACCCTCTTAAACTGTATTCTTTGTGTTGTGAAAGAAGCACTCTATTTTTGGGAAAGTGGAGCCGCTTCAGCTGCAGTTCGACAAAGTTTCAAATAACTATATGTGCAGTTAAGGAGAAGATGTCTGCATTTTTATTGTGCCTTTATTCACTGTGAAGTAAAGTTGATGAAACCTTTGCCTGCTTACTGGGCAGAATGTGAGCCTTGGAATTACTTAAAATATAAATATATGGCTGACATTTGAAAAATCATCCTCTCTCTCTTAATAATTACTTTAGGTATGCTGTTGAGCAGGAATACAAAAAGTATGCCCCACAAATCCTGTATGGGAATCTCTCAAGCCACAGCATCAGCCACTGCTGGAAAAAAATGAGGAAAGGATAGAAATGTAGAAAACAGTGCTCTAGGAAGAGACCCACTGATCCTGTCATAGGCGCCTCATTGAAACTCGTATGGCAGTAACAATAGAGCTTGTAGCTAAACTTTTCTTTGTGTTTGTTATCTGGTTTGTGGGGGACTTTCATGCTATGACATGAAACAGATATTGTCACTGATAGCGTGAGCAATGTACATGGGAGATGTATCTGGGTGTACTGTATTGGTGTGCAAGTGTGTATACACTCTCATAGGCATGTCTCAGTCCTCCTACAAGCAGCTTAAATCATCATCTGAGCCTCATTCTGTGTGGTGTGCCATTCAGTGAGTCATAGCTGATCAGAGATTTTAACCTGGGTTCACTAGCTGCTTTCCAGCTCCCCCTTTTACCGATATCAATAAAACGAAATTGCTTGCCAGTTACCTACGTGTCAAGCTTCCTCAAGTCAAACGTAGACAGACCTCCCCTGACTTTTCTGTTCTGATGGTATTTTATCCCTGGAAAAAGAAAGGAGCTAATCCTTGCAGCAAAAGAACTGGGACTGATAATTGGAAGAGGTTGAGAAGCTGGTATGAATTGTTTTCAATGTCCAACATAGACATTAAGTGTAGCAATTATATTTGTTAGACTTAATTGCTGTGAGAAACTTTAGGGCCTTAGTGAAGGTACCAGATCACCAACTACCACACCTTGTGAATTCCTCATTACATGCTTGAGTTAGGGAAGTTTACATCCCTTTGGCTGAAGTTAATTGGGATCCTTGGGCTTTCTCTCACTATCTTTCCCTCATCTTCCAGGAAGAGGCTATCTTGTATACAGGTACAGGGACAGCCTCTGAAGCAAAGGAAGAGAAGAACTGTATAAATTACATGATGAGATGTGTTGCTCTTCAGCTTTCCACTTGGAACCAGGAGCATGCAAGGTGTCCAAATAACTAGCACCCTGAGAACAATGTTTTTATAATTAGGAAAACTGTGACTAAAAGGATGCCTGTAAACTTTTCTTTTGCTTGTCTGTTATAAACTGCACGCATGTTCCATCTGTATTCGATCAAACATATTTTCTTCAACATAGGTGGTTTTGTTTCTTCCTAAGTAAACTCGAATCTGAAACTGAGGTGCCTTGACTAGTCCATGCCCTTTAAAACACCAAACCTCCTAAAATAAAGAATGTCATGAGACTGTTTGTTTGTTTTTAACCTAAACTCTTAATCTACTAGTTTATTCTGTTACCCAGTTTATTCCATAATAAAATAGAAACCAGAGAATGTGAATCTATCCCAGGAAATTGAAGTGGTTTATTATATGCAAACTTAAGATGCAAACTGCACTTCTAACTTGGCTTCTGGGAAGATGGGCAACATTGCAGTAGGCCCATTTGTAGTTCTGGGGTTATTAACTTTTATGCAAGGCTGAAAAGTAGACTGAATTACCAGCAGACTGGTCCAGTTCATAAATTTGGCTATGCTTAGGGATTGTAATGATATTTCAGTTCATCTTTGACCAGAACGTAGCTAGTTAATTCAACACAGACTCAAATACAATTTGTGCTTGGAAGTCCATATATCTCTGAGCTTGTAATGCAATTTGAACAATTAAACATTGTGTCTAAAAGATGTATACATTTGGAAAAATGCACACAAATTTCAAGATGAGCCAGGGGAAGCTCACAACCTGACATAGATCCAAGCTGGAATGAGTTTCGAGACTGAAATTGGAGAACCTCAATGAGTATGAACTTGCCAGATCTGAACATCAACAAGTGCGGAAAAAATTTATGTGCTATGCTACAAATTTGTATCAGTTTAAGCTATCGTGGCTTCCCCCAAAGAATTCTTAAAATTGTATTTGATAAAGGTTGTGAGAGGTCTTTTAAAGGGCCCTACTTTGTCACACAGAACTACAATTCCCAGGATTTCCTAGGCAGGCAGCATGACTCTCAAACCTATTTAAGTTTAGTAGTATGGAAGATATGTTTCATGTTCCCTGCACTTGATAGTCTGTGTACTACTCATTCTCCAGCAAATATGAAAAGCCTGTATACAGACCTCACCCCCACCCTCCAACTCTGACCAATGTTATTTTTACGGACAAAGAGAAGCCTTGCTTGGGAAAGCTGTAGGTTGGCAAATTAAACATGTAGCGCTGTTTGATTATTTTCCAGCATAAAGGTGCTATACAACAGTAAGAATGTTATTATTTCAGAGCACAAACTCCCATTTAAAGTCAGCAGGAGCAACATGATTTAAAGCTGTGAGAAACTATTTGATCATTTACTTCTAATTTGCAAGTTTATGAAGCAAATCCCCCGTACCTGGTGATTAGTTCCTTCAGCAGCAGAATCCCATGCCACGAAAATAGAGGCAATCGCGTACACATACTGTAGCTTTCTCTGTGTGAGTGGCTGAGCTCTCTGAGTCACATAGACCAAAAATAATGTGCTGCGTTTAAACAATGCTTGTTCTGTGATGCAAGCTGACAAAAGCCTGTAAAATTTAAAGTGGCCCTGTCAGAGGCACTCTAAAATTAAACCTGCTAGCCAGCTGTGTTTTGGTCAACAGGGGAGCTTGGTCATTTAATGCCTTGAGGCCTTCACACTTGTGTGGCTCTCTAGAAACTGGCGAGCTATCAGGAATGTTAAAAAAAAAAAGATCCTGTTTGAATGGAACGTAGAGTTGGAATTGTGATATCTTATCAACTCTCTGTAGTTATAGAAGTGCAGCTAGAAAAGAAGAGCATTTGGGTGCCCACAAACATATTGTTGCTTTGCATTGTGTGTTATATACAGAACTGGCCACAACAATAGGACCAGTTGCTGTTCGTCATTCTCCTTCGTAGACAAAAGGCAGGGGTTTTCTGCTGTATGACTCAGGTACATGAGTGGTGCAAAGCATCACTTGGTAATGGACATAGAAGCCAGCATCCTAAGAATCTCAGCTTTCATTAAAGGTAATAAAACAAGTTTCTAGACCTTATGGCTGCAGATATTCCAGATGTATGGGCAACACCTGTAAAATCTTCAAACAGAATGTTGGTAACACATACAGGTATCAGGGTGAGGGTCTGCTAATCCTCTGATTCTAGAAAGTCGTACATTTAGATGTGTTGCAGAATAATGCTTATTTCAAAGATGCTTGGCTGAATTGGTTTCCTCAGATCTGTTACTCTTTTCTTGTGCCACCTTTTGGCTGAATCACCAAAGTGATTTACTTCTGTAGTAACTTCAGGCATCCCATCTGCTGTGGAGGTATGACAGTCCTCAGCCAAATTGCATAGGTTGCCACAGCGCATAGGACTAAGCATCAGTCTGGGCAAACAAGGCTGAGGACTGTGGGGGCAAAGAAGGCGGAAAACAACACCAAGAAGAGAATCAACATGACGAAGGCGTATTTGCAACAGTGTTTGACAAATCACCAAAAACAGGAGACACTTTTTGGCATTCACAAATATGAGCACAGAATATTTATTTATTATTTGATTTACCATATTTTCCATCTATGAGACGCCCCCATGTATAGGACACCCCCCACTTTTCCTATCGAACTCCAGCGAGTGAGTTGCTGCCACGCGCATGCTGCTTCACCGCCACCCCTCCCGCGTGCGCCGCTTTGCCCCCTCACCCCCCACGGATAAGACGCACCTCCATTTTTAGCTAAACGTTTTAAAGACCAAGTAGCATCTTATACATAGAAAAATATGGTATATGCCGCCCTATTAGCCATAAGGCTTTCTCTGGGTGGCTTACAACAAATGAATACAACGATATAATAAAATCTACAATTTACAGTACAACCAATGAAACCATAAAACTCAAAAAATGTAAAACCATTAAATAATAAAAATTCAATAAAATAAATAATAAATATTATAAGAGCAAAAGATAAAGGGGACAGTAACCCAATTAAGATGTCACTGAGTAATGTCAAATATCTAACATAAATTCATGGCACCAGCACTTAATTATATAACCTTTAAAACCATCATTATAAATCAGAAAACTGATAAATTCACCCATCAAAATGACAACGGAGCAAGAACAACTTTAGTTGGCATCTGAAAGAATACAGAGATGATGCCAACCAAACTTCAGCAGGATTGAGCTTCGTTGCTGAGGTACTATGATGGAAAAGGCCCTCTTCCTTGCCATCTCTGCCCTTACCCCTTGGACCCTCAATCCCCCTCTTTAAAATATTCCACCAATCAAGATGGGCAAGGATTAAGTGAGCAGGCCATAGGCCAGACAGATCCAAGCACCCGCGGCACGTTGTGGGACCTCAACAGCTGAAATTTCTCCACTAGGATGCAACAAGATGCCTCCCTGGTAGCTCTGAGTGATTGTATCCTCAAAGTAACCTCAACAGTGGGCTTCTCACCCCAAAATCTTGTTTGGGGGTAAGAAGTAAAAGGCCACAAATCACTCAGAAACGCTCCCCTGGACGACACGACGAGGATGCATTGGGGGCCGCCATAAAGCACTTCCTCAGTGCTTTCACCACCACAGAATAGGCTCAGTAACGGGCACTAAGTCAGGCTCAGTCAGATTTGTTTTGTCTTCTCCTCCACCTGAGCCGTCTTTCCTGCCTTTCCCAAAATTACTGGGATTGGAGCACCCACATACTCACCCATCGTAAGAGAAACTACCATTGTTCCAGTGGGGTGAACAAAAACAAAGCTTTCTGTTTGCTAGTGCTAAAAAATCCCTTCCGTTTCCTATTCCAGCTCTCCGCTACCTAATACTCTCTTCCTACGTCTAAGCCACAATACCACTTCCTACTTACCCTCCTCATCTTATACTATCTATCAATCATCCGCAACTTCCTTTTTATCTGCCTGTTGCACAATATCAGACCCTCTGTTCCAGCTTCCAGAAGCTGGTATGGATTATTCATTTGCTACCAAATTGCTAAAAATAAAATCACCGAAACATTCAGTACCACACCAATTTGTATTGAAAAGCTGTGCCATAAGCAACAATGATGAAGTATTTCCTGAAAATGGCAGCAATTTTATGAGGATGACAGAGGTATGGATGTATTTCTGCAGCAAAATACATGGCCAGCCCCAGAGCCCATGTTTGGACATTAGAATGACCTATGAAATACCAGCATTGGTCATACTTAATATAAAACATTGATCAAAGTTGCCTGGTATGGCAGAAGAAGATGGGAAAAAAATAGAAAAAATCAGGGGACAATTAGCTTACGCCAAGGGTAGGGAATCCTGGCCCTGTTCACCGGGCTGCAGTCACTTTCTCCTAGCCACTGTTGGTTGAATGGTTTCCTAGCTTTTATACAGTTCCTCCATTTTAAATAATTGCAATTCCTCTTGAAGGTAGCATGGTTGTATTTTTTGCCTGATCCCTTCTCCCTTCAGCCCCTCTCTGTCCCCAGTTGTGCCTCCAAGAGCTTCTCTGACATTGAACTTGACCCTTGGTCCTACCCCTGGTTTACAACCTGTCCCCACACTTGTATTCTGCTTTTTTCATAAAGACAAAGTATTTTGCACAGTTTCGGAGCTGCTGTGAATAGATAAGGCTGCCTTCAACTGCTAGTCTAGGCTAGTATTAGACCAGGTAGCCAGGTCTAGGCTACCTGGTCTAATACCAGCTTTCCTGAGTTCTGGGAGAAATCCTTTCAGGAGATACTGGCCCTGTACATGGGACCTCTGTATACCAGTCAATGAGGAAGGGCTATTGTATTTATCAAGTCCTGCCTCTGAGTTTTCTGTAGGCATTTAGTTGGACACTGTGGGAATAGTGGATCTACCATTGATCCATGTAAAAAATAATGTGCAGAGATTCTGCAGGTTTTTGTGTTTCAGGCCCTTATGGGAACCCATTTAATTTGATATGGGCCTTGTTTTGAAAGCACTTGAGAAGGAGGATTTATTGTTGATGGAGTTACATGCCATACAGTAAATAATACATGTCATGTGAGCAAACAAACAGGTTGCACACCATAAAACAAGAGATTTTACAGCGCTAAGTTGGCTATCTTGCAGTCCCTAGAATCCAGGAGGAGGAGGAAGGAGGGAAGGCCTCTTGCTTGCTTGTAGAGGTGGGGAACCATGGGAGTAAAGCAAGCCAAGGAAGACTCCTCTGTGCATGGAAGGAAGAAGTACCAGCGCCACATTTTGCAGGGCCCTTGTGCAAGAAGCCTCGAGAGGCCCCCTCAATGAGCCTGCAGTCTCCCCACCACCCCCCGTAGCTGCTGTTGCGCATCTACCTGCTTTTTGTTTTCTTGACGGGCAGAGAGCAAGTGGCTGGGCACAGATTCTGCTCCTCCTCGCTGCCACCACCTCTTCTTCCCTGGGCAAGAGGGAGAGGAGGTGGAGAAGAATGAAGAGAGGAAGCAACTCCAGGTGGCCCTGGGATGTGGTCCCTCTGCAGGTGCCCAGCTGTGCCTGCTCTCTGCAGCAGCGTTGGACAGAAAGCTCTGCCGCTATTGCTCATTTGCTGCAAGAAGAGGGCAAAAGGGAGGTGTTCAAGGTCCGACTAAAAACCCTTCTGGATCTGGACTGGGTAGGGGGAAATGCAGCAACAGTTTGGCATTCACAGATTCCTCCCCTCCCTCCCATCCACGTGATGCTATGTAAAAGATATGGTTACGATTTCATTTACTGTATGTACACATGCATATTTTAAAATTGCATGCATTTTAACATGCATTTTTAAAATAGTAGTATTTTATTATTACTTTTACAATGAGTAATAGAAATTGCATTTATATCCCAGCTTTTTCCAGCAAAAGGAATCCCGGGTGGCTAACATAGTAGTCATCCTCCTCTCCATTTTCTCTTCACAACAATCCTGTGAGGTAGGTTCGGCTGAGTCAGTGACTGGCCCAAAGTCACCCATGGCAGATTAGAAACTGGAACTCCTGTCTGGGGGCTGGTTCTCACTGGCCGTCTTTAATCAGTCGGATCCAGGGAGCAGTTCACAGGGGCTTTTCAGTAGTTCTGAAATTATGTTAAGAAGGTACAAAGATCTTGACAAGCGCAGTCATGCTTTCATCCTGTGGCATGCCCTTGCCCCACCAAAGGCTTTGATTAATTTTGCTCGTGTTTGCCTGCTCAGACTATCTCTGTGGAGCGTGCCAAGTTGCATTCATGCAACGGACTCCCTAACCTCCTCCAGTTGGCAACAAACGGTTGAAATTCTCCTTCCATGCCGCAGGGCGGAGCTAATCTTCTTGGTTAGGCTGGGCATTCCTTTTTCCGACATGGCACTTCTAGAGAATTTACACCTCCTAGCAAATTGGGGATTTCCACTGGCATAGTGTTTCCCTCGTTAATGCACCTTGAGCAAAGCTCATGGTGGCAATTTTCCACAGGGCTGGATTCAGCTCCTCTTCATGTTGGAGCAGATATGGGCTTCACCTGTTTGTAATAAGAAACTTTGCTGG